GAGAGAGAGAGAGATGCAAGTTAAGCACATTATCGTGCAGAGAAACCAATACAGGGCAGAAACTGTCTATGATATACATTTTGAAGGGATTTGAAACTCCTGTTGATAGTTCAAGTTTGTAACTATTTCTCGTTCATAGCAATGCGAGCGAAAGGGAAGAGTAACGTTAGTACAAATAGCTGTTTGAGTTTTAAACGGGCTCGCGGGAACAAGTTTTTAATAGAAACGACCGCGCTTTCCTTGCACAACGGCGCAGTTGCAGGATATAATGCCTTCGAGAAAGAATGGAGACAACCGTTATGCTGCGCAAATATTCCATTTTGCAAATGACAAGGAGCATTTTAAAGATATAATTATTTTGAACTTACAATGCTTATTTTGTGTAAATTATTTCTTTTATCTTTGTTTAATTAAATGCAAAAATATTTACCAAATTTTTGCAAATTATATAAGTTTAATCATAACTGAACAATAGTGTTAATTATTATATTAAAATTGTATATTAAAAGAGACGATTGTATGTCAAAATATTAAAATATTAAAATTGTATGTCAAAAGAGATGATTACGAAAATATATAGTAAGGATATTTTAATTATATTATTAAGACATTAAAATCCAACAAATTTTTATTTTATCTTGATATATATATTTTTTTATTTAATAAGAAATTTATATAATTCATTGTTAATGTAATGCATCTTTCAAAGCTATATATTAGATATCTCACATGTATATATAAGAATGTCTTGTTATAGATAAAATCATGCACCCATTAAAATAGTGTCTATTTTAATTCGATTATACTAATTATATTTTATTCGATGAATAATCAATTCCCCATGGAAAAAAGCTGCGACTCACCGGATTGTTGATAAGACTCGCTGAGGTGGATGGTGCGGTAGGACGATGATCGTAGTCCTCCGGATAATCGTCCCGATAGGTCCTGCCAGCCACGGGTCTCTCTCTAAGTCCTTGACCGTCTCTCTCGTCTCCGAGATCTCGATGGAAGTCCCTGAAATCCCTGAGATCGGGCAGATCCCGAAAGTCACTAAGGTAGCCCTCTTGGTAGTCGCGGCTCACGTGGTCCCGTTCGCCTCGAAGCTGCCTCGACATCGCCGTCGGCTCCTCCTCCTCTGAGTCGGGCAGTAGCTGCTCGACTCCACCACCACCTCCGCCACCTCCAGCACCAACTCCGCGTCGGGCGGGATGACGCCGGAGGTCACACCATCCTACCTCCTCCTCCGCCCTGCCGGCGATTTCGCCACGGGACAGCCGAGCCGTGCTTGTTGTCCTCACGACCGATCTACCTCTGACCTCCTGCCCCCGCAGCCCCCCGGGGGGCTCCACCACATCACAGTCAAAGGCTATTCCGCCTGGAGTTCTTACGAGCCGTCCCTTCCGTATTCACTGCTCTTTTCTGACTTCGAGCTTTTCCTTGTTCCCGATTGCGATTTGCGTTTTATGTGCGCGTATGCCCACTTTTAGTCTTGTAAATATCACGTGAAACACCCCTGATGCAGAGTAGTTGATTTTAGAGAGGTAGGATGTAAAGTAGAGTTGACAGAATTACGGCCTGCAAACTGACGATAAAAGCAAAATTTTAATTAGTTTGAATGCAATATAACTCTTCAGATGATATTAATATTTTATCAAATCGCTGTGTGATTTGTCAAACAAGAACGAGATTTGTAAAATTGAATGTGTAAGCAGAAAATCATTATATAGGAAACTCTCTACTGATCAGATATCGAGACTCTTCTCCTACGATATGATACAGAGGTCTCAGTTATCGACTAACTTTTATGATGTATTTAGTTAAGATGTATTTAGTTACATGCATATGTAAGTGAGTATCATGTATACCAAATTATTGAAACAACTATTTTTTTTATATTTATTCAAAAATTAAAATTAATTTTTCGAAAACTCCAAGACATTTCTGAATAAATAATTAAGACAGCTTAAAAAAAACACGAAAAGTTTGGTAACACTTCAGCGATAATAAATGATAAAAATAATATATTTTCTTCTTTTACTTAAAGAAATTTTATTTAGAATATAAATGCAATATATTAAATAAATTCATACTGCGAATAAAATATAATTTTCACATAATAATACATCATTGAAAGTTATTATAATACTATAGCCTAGTTAATTCTTTATTCCTGTTGTATCGCAAATTTTATTTTATAATTGTTATAATCACTACATATTTAAATACTATCCTATGCCTGATTATACAATTTTACTGAGATAGGAATTATTTATTACTCGTGGTTTTAATTAACAGAAATTATTCAGTTTCATTTTGTCATTGTTGGTTAAACAAGCAGAAAATTGATGGTATTCCATTAATTTAGCTACAAATTATTCAATTATTTAAATAGAACTGCATCACATGAATAATACTTTAACGCACAGATAGGGTGTTTCCTCAATTGTTCCCGATTAATGGCACATGCCACATTATCAGTAACAATCGGTAATATACTGGATTCTATATGTCACGGCGATTTGTCGTTTCCCAATATTTGTACACGAAAAATACTGTATAATATCGTGGCTCTTCGTAATCCTCACTTATCGTAATTTTAATCTTATTGTTAAACAACACGCACGGCGCGGCAGATAATTCAATTTTACCAAAACGAACAATATTTCATGACACGTGCTCTTTTCATTATACCGCGCCGCTATATACTGATTGTCCGATAGTCTTCGAAGTTTATGATAATTTCCTTTTCTGTAACCTAGTCTGTTTACTCACAAAACTCTATTTACCTCGCGATACGATTGACGTGATATTGTCAGAATAGCAAGAACAAACATATCACTCACAGCGCTTTGAATTTATTCCATAATTTATAACGAGCAAAAAAATCATTTATAATAAGCATTACGTTTATTATCTCGTTAATGCACCTAATTGTGCAGAAAAAGCACTTTCTTCTTTTTTTACGGAATTGTATGTTTCGTCTAAAATATCGATGTATTTGTTATCCAAGAGATGTAAAATAATAATATAATTTTACGAGAAGCTCTTAAAATGGAGAAAAATTGCTGCTGATTGAAGACATAACACTTTGCTGAGCTTCTAAGTACGCAAGTACAATATACAGAGGTGTATCCTCCAAAACAACGATGGTTTCTCGAGCGAATATTAAAGTAGACGGTCTCATAAAGTCCTCGTATTCAGTGACGCGACATTATCATCATGACGGTCGTTACGATAACGAGGTCAAACTAGCGCCGTCAAATCGTTTGTTCGTTAATTAATGGCACTATCATCGGAAGGCGTTGTCCCTAGACTGTCATTATACGTGAATGATTGATTTCTCTTTGCCAAGGTCAAATCGGTAATTCGCCGAATATACAATGCTAATAATTTTCCCAATTGTCGATAAATTTGTCGATAAATTTAACTGTATTTTCTATTTTCTATTTTCTTAAATATTTAATTATAAGTACAAAATTATAAGTACAAAAATTAATATCTAATTATTTATATAATTTTTTAATTCAAATTAAATCCGAGAAAGATTTAAAAACTTTAAATACTTATAAGTAACAACAAATAATTAACCAATGTTTTCAAAAATTAAAAACTTCTCTTTTGTGCTAATAAAATAAGATTATTTTTAAAATACAAGATCATCGAAGAAAGATAAAATAAAATAGGTTATTGAATATGCTATTAATTAATTTGTGCAAGAGTATACATGGTTAACGAGAGGAGAATCCGATGCGTAAGATCCTGTCACGGTTCACGGAATCGAGAGGGTGGTGACGAAGCTCGCCTAAGGTGGAGTGAGTTGAAGTTAGGTCACGCCGCAGACCGCGAATGTAGGGCTGTGGGTCGCGCCCGGTCGAGCTCAGCTGCGCCGCGACCCGAAGAAGGGGTTGCAGCTCGCCTGTGATCAGACAAGCGCGGCGCGCTACTTCCGTCCACTCTTCACTGCGTGCAATCGGGGAAATCATCGCGTAACGCGCCAGTGAAAAGCGCCGGCAAATGGTCAGACAAGCGCTGTCACGACACGACTATTTCTCGCGCTACGTCAGTGACGTGGACGCTTTTCACGTCACGAGAATCTGGACCGACTCGACGATGGTGATGATTGCTCAAGGACCGTAACGATCTCGCGCGTCTCTCTTTCTTATTGACACTTTTAATAGTGTGTTCTAGACAATTTTATCTTGCCTACAACATTTTCGAAACTTACAGGACCCTTTTCTACAATTGTAATGTCCCACGATGTTCTCCGGAGAGAGATTGGAGCACACCATTCGGAGCTGTCACTTTCGCGCGCGGATGTCGCCTTGACGTTCGCGGAACAGAACTTAAATGAGACTCTCGCGGGAGGGAGGGTTTTTCACCGGTCACGAACGCGATTCACGAGCAGTCGGAAGAATTTTCACGCGAAACGTTCGGGGTCGACGTAGCCGATCACTACGTCGAAACGACGGCTTGCTCTTAACGCGGCTCGCACCACCTCGATCACCCTCGGTAGACTACGGCCCCTATCGTCTTGGCTCGGTTCGCACACTATGACGTCACGCGACAGACGAAAACCCCGGCGGTCTGGGGTATCGATCGCGTGCGCTGGCGCAGCCGAGGCTTCACACCGCGACGCTGGATAATCGGAGACAGACACGGGACACGTGGCTGACGCTCCGAAAGATGACAGTTTGGAACTTAAAGCTCACACAGGTGATTCTCAGCTGGAAAAGCTGTGTTGGAGCCATATTTTGCTATACTGGTATTCTCGTAATGGTATCTTCTGTTCTTGATCGCTGACAGATGTTCATAGATATGAAATGGTTAAGGTAAAGCGCTTCGCATTAGCGATGTATGTACTTTAAATATCTTTTATCTCATGAAGATGAATCATTTGACGATATTTTATATAAGCATGACTAACTGATTTTATGACATGAAAACTTTCATTCGTTAACGATTCGTTGGAATGAAACAATTTTTATCTTTCTAGAATAATTGTTATAATAATTTAATAAAAGTATATTGAAATTAAATGATAATTTGGATATCGAAAGATGGAATAATAATGCCATTGTTCGTCACACGATTGGCGGTAGATAGTTAGAGCGTTTTATTCTTAAAATATCCACATATTGTCATGTATACCTGTCGATATTCCGATACTTGATTATTCAAATATAAAATTCAATTTATGTTGCAGTGTTGACTAACGTTATTATCATAGCAGAATGATTTTTCATTAATCTGTTAATTCTTTACTCTCGCTGCTTTAGAAAAAAAATCAAAATAAATAATAAACATGATTGAATGATAAATAAATAACACTGATGTCAAGTTAAAATAATATAAGGCTAAAGTAACATTTCATTACATGATGCAATAATTCTTTGAAGAACTGAAATTAAGGAGAGAATTAATCAATTTTAAATAATAATGAATATATCTATTATCATCTCTCGTGTAAATCTATTTATAAAGCAAGTATTGGATACTGTTGTATCCAATGTGGATGTGGTACTGTTTTTCCTGAAGCTATCGTATTACCTGTCAATTTCTTCATTCTGAAGTTCTCTTTCTGAAACTCACGCGGCATTATCATGTCTCTCTTTCACGGCATTTTATAAACTGCGTGACATTCTGATCATTTCATATACAAAATAAAAGAGAGACAAATCGTATTTAAATAATCGTATATAAATTAATATCCCAATCATTATTTTTATAAGAAAGTAAAGCATTTATTCAATTTTAATTTTACATTAATATAAAATACATGTAAGACATGCTTATTTGCAGACGTTTTAATAATAATTAAATTTAAAACAAACACATTATTTTTAAATGATAATGAAACGTAATTTCGAAATTAAATTAATTTTAGCGTGAATCATTTTTTCATCGTTATCTCATGTGATCATATTAATTATGTGATTACGTTGATTATGATATGCTGAAATGTCAACATAAGTTATCGAAAGACAGTAAGAATAATATTAATGTAATTACGTTAATTACATCGTTTATTAGAAAACTAGTTATTATAAATGTTTATTTCTTATCTTTATTCTTATTATAAATCTTTATTTCGTTACACAAGCAATTTATATAAAACAATGTAAAAATACATGAATGTCTTTGTTAACTATCTATACCATTAATCGTGTGACGAACAATGGTATTATTATTGCATTTCTTTCGATGTCTAAATTCAATGTTCAAATGTAATTTAATTTCAATATTGTATAAAGTCCATAGCTAAATATCATTCGCGCAATTAAAATGTAATGTATTTGTTATAATAAAGTATTAGTATAACAATGTAATAATTGTAGAAGAATTATGAGATTTTATTATACAAATACAATTTTGCAGCTACCTGGTGTAAATGATAGAACGTAAGGAGAAGAAGACATTCATATTAATTATAAAAATATGATTCATTTAAATACTAAAAAAAGATAAAGAAGCGCTAATATAAAATTTAACAAACTAGATATTATAATTATTAGTTTTAATTTTTATTAAATAAGTAAGAATAAGTATTATTATTTTTACAAAAGAAGGTTCTATCTGTTTCTTACTGATGTATGTAATGAAAAAAGTAAATCTAACTCGAAAAGGAATGCAAAAGCAATTATGGGATTGTAATATTGCAATTGTGCAATATTGCAAATATCGACATCTACCGGAGGGAAAAGGAAATAAAATGGAAGGAGTTGAAAATGAAATAAACGCGACACTTTTCCGTACAACAGCGCACAACTTTCCCCTTGCAATCTCTTACCGTTACCTTCAGCGATAACGCCGATATCTGAGAATGTCCCCGGTTAGTCACCACCTCCTGGTAAGCTTGCAGTCGCGAATTGTGCTCCGGATGTGTCTTCTACGCGGGATATCGATCGCATAAAATCGTTAAGAGTGACAGTGAGAACTGTAATTTTTAATATACGCCACTGACATTACACACTGATAATTGTATTTAGACACGGAAAAACACAAAAAAATTAATATAGCATAATTACCAATCTTCAAACGTCTAATTTCAGATTAACAATATTTTGTATGATTTATACAACATTATATTTTTAAACGTTATAAATAGAAACCCGCAGATGAAAAATATGGAATATAAATTGGTTTTAATTAAAAATAGTATAATATAATAACAGAAAAGATAAATGTGTTATAGCATCGTTTCAATATATATATATATATATATATATATATATAATAATAATAGAAAGAAATA